TCGGGGTTATTTTAACAAATAGGTTCATTAAAATAACAGACTGGTGTAAATGAAAGTACTGCTGTTCCATGGACAAACCACAGCAATACATTGGTTTAATGCAGTAGTTCTCAATTATTTTCTATCATGCCCCCCCTTGAGGACAGACATTTTTTCACGCCCCCCCTCCTCCGACCCACATCCCCCTAAATTGAAATACGGTTGAGAACCTGATAACATGTATATTTCCATCTGTACAAACCACTGTATGAGTTGCTGCCACCTAGTGACTGGAGGCTTGTTATCATTCCAGCATTACAGCATGTGGTACACTTATGTCCAGTGTTCCATATTCCATTGGAAGCCACTCAAACCCCCTCTCGGAACGGCCCCCCAAGGAGGCCCGCAAATGACTCCTACACTCAACTCCCAATGTGAAACCAACAACTACGCCCCTTGTGGTTTCTAAGGTGAACACCTTAAAATAGAGCACAGGATGTGTAATTTCGACAACAGTGACATTCCTATTTAACTAGTTCACTAGTCATGAAAACCTAGCAGTCAAGGTGAAGGTCAAACACCTTCCACCTGGACCAATCATTTTCCGGAATTCAAAAATTGACTTTGCCCTCTCTTCTTGTCTGAAAAAAAAAAGAACGGAGCTTGGTGTCACAGGCCAAGTTTTGGAAGTGTATTGAGGGCAGGCAGAAGATACAGGTGAGGTACAGACGTTCGCTAACGCAAGTCCAAACTGAAGGGAACATGGGTAGAACAAGAAAGGACATGAGAAGAAGCACTGAGTCACGCACCTGCAGATCAGTAACACGACGCAGCCATGACTAAGATGACAGTGACAACAGGAAGGGCAGAGAGCCAATAGAGACGGGACAGGACGGGGGAGGGGAGGGGTTAAGCCTGCTAACCACTACACTATAGAACCACAGTATAATCCATCTATCTATCCATCCATCCATCCATCCATCCATCCATCCATCCATCCATCCATCTATCATCCGTCTATCCGTCCATCTATCCATCCATAATCTATCCATCCATCCATCTATCCATCTATCCATCCATCTATCTATCATCCATCCATCTATCTATCCATCTATCCATCCATCCACCCCTCCATCTATCCACCCATCCATCCATCTATCCATCCCTCTATCCATCCATCCATCTATCATCCATCTATCCTTCCATCCATCCATCTATCCCTCCATCCATCCATCCATCTACCCATCTATCCATCCATCCATCTATCCATCTATCCATCCATCTATCCATCCCTCTATCCATCCATCCATCTATCTATCTATCTATCATCCATCTATCATCCATCTATCTATCATCCATCCATCTATCTATCCATCTATCCATCCATCTATCCATCCATAATCTATCCATCCATCCATCTATCATCCGTCTATCCGTCCATCTATCCATCCATAATCTATCCATCCATCTGTCTATCATCCATCTATCATCCATCTATCCATCCATCTATCCATCCCTCTATCCATCCATCCATCTATCATCCATCTATCTATCATCCATCCATCTATCTATCTATCATCCATCTATCCCTCCATCCATCCATCCATCTACCCATCTATCCATCCATCCACCCCTCCATCTATCCACCCATCCATCCATCTATCTATCTATCATCCATCTATCATCCATCTATCTATCATCCATCCATCTATCTATCCATCCATCTATCTATCCATCTATCCATCCATCTATCCATCCCTCTATCCATCCATCCATCTATCCCTCCATCCATCCATCTATCTATCTATCCATCCATCTATCTATCTATCCATCCATCCATCAACCCATCTATCCACCCATCCATCCATCTATCTATCCATCTATCCATCCATCTATCTATCCATCCATCTATCCATCTATCCATCCATCTATCTATCTATCTATCATCCATCTATCCCTCCATCCATCCATCCATCTACCCATCTATCCATCCATCCACCCCTCCATCTATCCACCCATCCATCCATCTATCCATCCATCTATCCATCTATCCATCCATCTATCTATCCATCCATCCATCAACCCATCTATCCACCCATCCATCCATCTATCTATCCATCCATCTATCTATCATCCATCTATCCCTCCATCCATCCATCCATCTACCCATCTATCCATCCATCCATCCATCTTTATGTCCAGCTGAACTACATTCATATTATAACTCCAGTTACTCTCACGTTCTTAACTTCTCAACATCTCCAGCTCCATTCATCCATCCATCTGTCCATCCATCCATCTATCCCTCCATCCATCCATCCATCTACCCATCTATCCATCCATCCACCCCTCCATCTATCCACCCATCCATCCATCCATCCATCTATCCATCCATCCACCCCTCCATCTATCCACCCATCCATCCATCTATCTATCTATCCATCCATCTTTATGTCCAGCTGAACTACATTCATATTATAACTCCAGTTACTCTCACGTTCTTAACTTCTCAACATCACCAGCTCCATATCCATAACATGTTGTCTGATATTTCCTTATTTTATGTTTTCATTGTGCATCTGAGATCATTCTAACATACAGGTCTAACTTCATTTTCAGACTGCTCAACCACCGCCGTCCTTCTCAGCTCTTCTATTCTTTCCAGGTTCATCCCGGTTTACACTCCACCACCTGCTGCTTTCACTTTTTTTTCCTCATTTAAACCGTTTCGAGCCAAAACACACTGTTTGTGCGTTCCCTCTTTTTCGACAAAAACTAATAATCAGCATTTTTATAAACCAGCTTCTGTTTTGAACTATTAATAGAAGCATTTACAAATAATAACTCTCCATGCAAACTACAGTTCATGCAAGCAGGGGGCGCTGTCAGGCCCCTGTGTAACACACTACTGAACATAGATATATTTCTACATACAGTGCAGTATGTAGATGTGTAAATATATATTTAGCAATATTTTACTATATTATTACAATAAATTAACCCCCGCCCCCCATGCAGTGCCACTGCACACAAGTACTGTTATACAGTGCATTCAATACACTGATTATTAAAGCAAGGCCAAAACTAGACCTTGTGTAATTGGAGTACTGCTGGTTCAAATCCCAGCCCTGGCAGGACTGTGTTGTGTTCATTAGGCACCTATTGTAACACTCCTCAAGCCCCCCCCCTCCATTGTTACATAGTAAGAAAGGCAGCATGGGTTAAGCAGATTAGCATCAACACTACAGTATGTAGAAGTGAGAAAGAACATCCTACAAAAATGAAGAAGCGTAAAAGCGCTAGTTGGCGAATGAAGAAACGTGTGAAGCTGTTGAAGAAAATGTATCACTTTACAGAGACTCCGCCATCGGAAAAAAAAAAAAAAGAAAAAAAAAAGACAAGGATTTAGCAGCAGCTATTTAAATCCCACTCCTGGTGAGACTTTCATCCAGCGTGACAAACAAGATTTGACACGGTGACAAGGAGACAGGTCGCAGGTTCGCAAGACGTAGACTTCTGCACACAAGCGGGGGGGGGGGAAAAGAAACAGACCCTACCCTGGTAGACAACTGACCCCTACGAAGTCACTGAGTGACTCCAGAGTCAACCTGGTGTGCTAACACACACTGAAGCTAAGCGTTGTTCGAGAGCAAATTCCCTTAATCCTAACCAGACCACAGAGTCTCAGTACTGAAGTTCAGGTTCCCATGAAGAACTATCAGTCCTGAAAAAAGGTACTCAGAACACGCACATCAACTGCTCACTCATCTATTTACATTAGCAGTCAGCTGACAGCGAAGGGCAACTTCGAATTATTTGCCATGGTTTATGTAACCTTCCTTCACCTTTGACTTTCTCCCCTCACTGCTCCGTACGACAGCTTGCAGTAATTCGGAATAATCGGATGACTCGCCTTTCTAATCCCAGACACACAGGCTGCTGTTGCTGTTGTTTAGACGACTGCGAGCGCACACCGTCCGCACATGTAGCGCAGGAGTCGACACGCACCGTTAACGGAGGGAAATCTTAGCTTAGTTAACGATGAGGTCCAAGAGAAGTACCGGGACTCCCTTGTGTATTTGGAAATCAAATTTGGTAAAAAAAAAAATTTAAAAAAAAATTAGTTTACAAAAAAAAATTTTTTTAAATTTTAAAAATTAGTTTAGAAATAAAACCCCAAATTGGCATTGGGAGTTAACCATAAATTAGAGAAAACTTTGTAACGGTTTCCAGTTGGACAATATTTAATCCATACAAATCAATACGTAACTGTCTGTGTTTAAATGTTTATCAATCATTGGCTCGACATTCTGCCATTTTCTGGACAGAATTGTAAAAATACTACTGCCTTTTTCATACTCTGGGAAATAATAACTGCAACAACAAAAACAAAAAAACCTCAGTGCTTTTCAAAGACCATCAGGATCGTGCCATATCTGGCAGAGGTGCCTGCACAGTAATTGAAGTCTAACAGCTCTGGGCTACTTGTTGAAACAGGTAGGATACATGAACCCATGACATCATAGTAAATCGCTTCTCTAACAACCAGTGTGTCCCACTTTTGTGTCAAACTTTTGGCACAAAACCGAGGTTTTCGAATCCTTTCCTTGCTGGTTTCACAGTAAAAAAAAAAATCTGATAATAATAATAATCGTGTACTTTAGTGTGAGAGAAAACGTCAGTGATAAGCAAAATGACCTGCAGGCTGTGTTGCACAGTTGCCTCGAAATGATTCGAGGCGTCGTCAAATCAACTAAACCAGCAACAATAATCTGCTCGGTGGGTTTCAGCACCGCGGACAGCGACTGGAACCGGAACGGCTCCAAACTGCGGCCACGCGTGTCCGACTGTCATCGCGTTTGACTCACTGGAGCAGCAAGGCATTTGAAAATATACTCAAACATTTGATATCAAATAAAGCAGTGAAGGAGAGACCAAAACGAGGAGCAAAACGTGACACCAAACTCTTGGCGGAGTAGCCTGGACACAGCGGTAAGCGTCAGAACACACACACGACTTACCTTGTTATCCTCGTGGAAGCCATAATTCTAAAAGCAAAAAAAAAAAAAAAAAATCTACTTTTCTTTCACACACTGTTGCCGTCCCAGGGCCGCGGCGCAAAAAGACACAGCGCCCGAAGCGGAAATCCACGAGATAACATCCGCGCAACTCATCCACCCGGCTTCGGTCTGCGTATGCTGCTCAGACAACACTTTTGTGGAGGAGGAGGAGGAGGAAGAGGAGGAGGAGGAGGTATACCTCTGTCTGCGGCTTCAAGACTAAAAAAGAGTTTATAATCAGAGTGACAGAAATGACAGCGCTGTTGCCTTCATCCAGAAATAGGTGCATTTCCTCCACTGCCTCTAACGCGGTGTCCTCTCCGAGATGAAGTCTCCGGGAACTATACCAGAGCAAGGAGGAGGAATGTGTCTCTCACTCTCTCTCTCTCTCTGTGTGTGTGTGTGTGTCTAAGAGAGGGAGGGATCTGTAGAGGGGGTGAGAGAGAGAGAGAGAGAGGGTGCAGAGGCACAGAGGGGAGTTTGTCTTAAGGTAGCCTCGCATTTACTGCATCGGGCAGCAGCAGCAGCAGCAGCAGCAGAGATGGTGCTCGGTGCACTGTAATCTAATTATGTCCGAGGAATGGGATTAGCAGGGGAGAGTGGCTTCACAATTCAGAAAGCAAGGGGGGGTCGAGGCAAAGAGGACATTTTTTTTTTTTTTTTTTTTGGGTTTCATTACAGTTAAACTAACGTATTTTCTTCTCATTAACAATAACCAGACACCATTCAATATAATGATATACTGTACTTCACACTGCTCTGTCAATGGAAAGCACTTGTCGGTCAAACTCAGGGCCCGCAGGCCAAATGCAGCCCGCTATGTCGTTTTGTGTGGTCCCTGGAGCTTAAAAAGTCCATCTTTAATTAATCTGATACATTAAAAGTTTTTTATTATTATTATATAAATACAGCATACAATATTTATTCTTTAAACGTATTCTTGTAAATCAGTCAAATCTTTGTTCCGTAGCAACAAGTGACAAGTGAAAAAAAAAAAACAAGTAACGTAACGTAAACACCAGTAAAGTACGGCAGCCATGTCCGAGGCAGTGAAGGACCAAAGGCTAATGCAGAGGTTAGGGGTAACTTTTTTTTCTAACCCACTTATATCCGGGGAAACTCTTCTCATTTCATTATTTCAGCTATAATACTGCCACCTACTGGGTCTTCCTTGAAGTACCTGAAGCAGCCATTCGCTGCCTTAAATCCATATAGCTGCCATTTAAATCATCAGTCTTACATAGGTAGCATGGTTTAACACCAGGGTACCTAACCCCTGGTTTGGGGACCAGTGTCCGTCCGTAGCTTATTTGCTACCGGGACACAGTAAAAAAAAAGTCCTTCACTTTTACTTAATTTACTTCATTCAAAAAGAATCCAGTCATGTCCCTTTACTTTTGTCATTTTAATCTGGCAATGTTTCCAAACATTCAGACTCCGATGCTAACAGAATAAAGTCTACTTTATTTTGAAAACGTTAGCCAGGTATTACCAGTCCACAGCAATGGCTGATACTGGTCGACCGGGTTCTCCCAATATTAGAGACAGAGCGTCCGTCTGCTGCGAGGAGACAACACCGACGACGTGCCGAGCTGGTCGGCTGCTAAACCCCCCCCCCCATTGGACTTTTG